GATTCCAACGGCCTACTCCGCTGTGGTGTCAAATGCGTACTCTGCCCATGAGCTCAGTTTGGAGTTCAGGAGCCCACAAACTGAGTTAAAAGATGACCTAGGTAAGCACAACATAGAAGAGGGACCCCAGGGAGGACTTGTACCATTTTGCAAGATTCCAACGGCCTACTCTGCCGTGGTGTCAGATGCCTACCCTGCCCATGAGCTCAGTTTAGAGTTCAGGAGCCCACAAACTAAGTTAAAAGATGTCCTGGGTAAGCACAACATAGAAGAGGGAGCCAAGGGGGACTTGTACCGTTTTGCAAGATTCCAACGGCCTACTCTGCTGTGGTGTCAAATGCCTACTCTGCCCATGAGCTCAAATCTCTGACACCAACCAGACTAAAGGGAACAGGGGGGGGGGGAGCCCTTCTCCGCAACACCTCAGGTTCAAACTCCAAAATATGCCAGAGTTCTGACGGCCCCCAATTTCTGTGCTAGAGACCAATGGAGGCGCAGGGCAGGTTAGTAGAGGATTGGTGGTGGCGTGGCAGTGGAAATACAGACTGCATCCACCAAACATGAGTTCCTGGATCATCATCGCAACAGTTCCTGTTAGCAAACAGACTTGTTTGTTGTGGCTGCAATTGTTTTGCTCCTGCGGCCTGCCCAAGGTTTGGCGCGTCCACCCTGAATGCATGGAAGTTCAGAAAAATGGTGTTTGAAAATTGTTGCAGTGGAAATGAAAACAACATACACCAACATCAACCATCGAGTCATAACGACCACAGTTCACATTCGCAGCCACAATTCTTTATTGTTGCTGCCATTTTCATGGGTTGCTGCCAAAGGATGGGCGAGTCCAGCCTAGATGCCTACAAATCCAGAAGAGTGCTATCTTTTTGGAAATTGTGCAGACTCGCAAATGTTCTCCTATTGCTGAATCTGTTTCTGACAGACGAGGCAGGAGCCCTTTGCAACATCCTTTCAAATTGAGACACATTCACATCGCCCATGTGAAAGAATTGCACAGAATGGAAATGAGAAGCCCCCCTGCATGACAAACACTGGGCACGACAGAGAAATGCCCGGTAACGGTTAACCAGCTTTTGGTCCAGTAATTCAGCCTTGAAAGCTCGCAGCCTTCAAGTTTTCAACCCTTGACATAGAACACATGAGCCGTTGAGGTACACTACGTGTTGTCATAAATCCAGATTCACATGCCCATGCCGTTTCTTGTAGGACTCGAGGAGTTGGAAAGAGAGAGCAGGCACCCTTGACGGGAAGCTACACTCAAAAGAGCCTTTCAACTTGAAAAATGCATCCTAGTTTCTTACAGACATTTCTGACAGTCCATGAAAGTAGACTGAGAGGCAATTTTCAGACTCCCTTCAATGCTTATCCAGGGAAAGTGGCATTGATGAGGGGGACGTATCAGAACCAGAAGATTACTCTAGAAAACAAAAGCAAGCAGGGGTAGAGCGGCTGCACACACTTCCTAGGAAAGGAAGTGATCATTGCCGCTGACTCAGGGTCCCTTAGCCATAATGAAGAGAAGCACTGATGCGCACTCAATAGTAATCCAACCTTATTGATAACAAGGTAAAACGTTGTCCGAACTTGTCCCCCCCCAAAGAAGAAGAAAGAGTACAAATACTAAAAAAAGAAGAAGAAGAAGAAGGAACAGGCAGCACGCACAGACCGAGAATTACACAGGAACAGTGGGAGTAAGGAGGGAGGGAATCAAGACGTACCGTGGCAGTGACATAAAGAATGAAGTCTGCATATGGAACCCCTTCCCCTGCTGGAGTTGTTTGACAAGCAGTGTTCGACTCCTGAGAACACGTTGTGTATGCATCCAAATGAGATGCGTTCAGTTTATCCACAACCTGCAAACATTTCCCATGCCACAAGGATGTTCACCCTAGTTAGAAGCGTTCTGCCAAGCAGCTCACAATGATGACGACGATGATGATGATGATGATGATGATGATGATGATGATGATGATGATGTCTTTGAACTTCCTTATTGCTTTCTTCTTTTATTTGTTTGTTGGTTTTCACTTTCGCCCGACCATGTCATGCCAAAAGTGAAGTGGGTGGGTTATCACTGTCAGGTCCAGAGTTATGTCGACAGGCGACCACAAGAGAGGACTCGTCTGGACAAATAAATTTACAATTTTACACCAAACCACTTGTTATCTTCTCTAATTTTTGCCCTGACAAAGTAAGGAATTAAAGAATTACTCATTTAAACCACCAGTACACCCAAGGCTGGTGCGCTTTTGCTGAGCTGCCAGAGGCGTTTTTCTCCTTTTCTGCCTGGCGCTGCCAGCGATTAGGGTCTTCTAGCCCCGAGCCTTCACCATTTTTGGAGTGAGTCATTCGTTCGTGAAGGTTCCTGGGGCCATGTACTGGAGGTTTAACCCTTAATAAAGTCAAGTTTATAGTGCCATTGTACACAAGACACCATGGGTCTGCAAAAGCATGCGTTGTTTCCTCGGTGGGCCAGGAATAGCCCTGGCCGCCCTAACTGAAGGCAGGCCCGCAAAAACCAGGCCATGCATAATACAGGCCAATGTGAGCAGAATGAGGCCCCGAGGCAGCATCTTCAACTAACCGGTAGGCCCAGGCCGCTAGTTAGTTGAAGATATTGGGCCTCGTGCAGATTCTGGAAGGGCCCAGGGCGCAGGCAACTAGGACTGGTTTCAACCTGTGCAGAAGCTTCTCGGCCTTTCCAGCCCGCATAAAAGGCCGGAGGGCGCAGCCTTCCACACATCCATGCATTCAGGCAATGCCGCAGCGCTGCGTGAGCAGCTGCTGGGCTCTTGTGCACAAGGAGGAAGATGGGTGGTGGAAGCGAGGAAGTGAGGCAGAGGGCAGCAGCCATAGCCGGGCTGCCCACTCCATATCTGAGTGGTGTAGCCGAGGTCCTTGATGGAAGGAGGGCATGGAAAAGAAGTCAGAGAGGCAGTGTGACAAGGCACATACCCGGTGTTGACGAAGGCAGGCTGTTCGATCAGAGTCTTCGAGCTGCTTGGGCTGATGACGCAAGGATGTGTTGTAGACATGAAGGGCTAGGTGATAGGACTGTCAGAAAGTAGAGTCCGCAGACAGCCGCATTTAGGGGGGCTACAATGTTGTTGCATTGGTGATCGGAGGCGATGAGAGGGCTTTCATTCTTATCAGATTTCAATGCTTTGCTCGTTCCTACTTGTGTGATACTAGCTTTGATTTCTGCTTTGTTTCGGCTCTATTAAATCTGATCTTCTGTGAGATGTTGCAACTTGGTTGATTGCTGTTCGCATTGCTTATTTCCTTCATTTGTGCCCAGACATATGGAGCAGGATACTTGGCCTTTGTTAAACATACGTGATTGGAGCCTCCGTACGAAACATAATCCGCATCCCAGTTCTTTTTCTTTTTCTTTTTCTTTTTCTTTGTGGTGCGCCACAAAACAGTTCATATAACAGCTGTACAAAATATACATTTTGTCCCATTTTATTTTATTCTTTCATTTTCTGAGGTCTAAGGCCCTTGGCAGACCTCATTGGGGAGCCGCCCTAAGGGAAGGCGGGCAAAAGTTTCCCCGATGGCCACTTTGGGCCCCCACGCCATACAGTTTGAAAAGCAGTGTTGGGTGGTTGGCTTTGCGCCCAGGCCCTGGCGGCCCACTTGTGGAAGGATCCAGCACTGAAGCCTGTGTGACCGCGCCAGGGACAGAGAGGGCGAGGCCATGATGTGGCAAAAGGCCTTTCTGCCAATGAGAGTGAGGCAACCAGCAAAAATGCCACATTGTGCAGTTGAGCCCTGCAACGAACGGGGCATAGGGAACATTCCAGAACGGCCCTGGGCGCAGATACTTGGTGTGGCCTGGGAGCGACTAGGTACCACCTGCGCTTGCAAGTCCACTTTCCATAAAGGAAATTGAGTGCCTCCAGTCCATGAATTTATGGCTGGAGGCATGCTGCGTGAGCTCCGCTTCAGCACAGACTCACTTGAAGCAGGGCGGTAGCTGGGAGGAATGTGTGCACGGACACTGGTGGTGACCGCTGCTGGATGCAGCGCAGCACGGCGGCCATAGCCAAGCCACATGTGCATCTAAGCCGGTGGGTATATTGGAGGTCCTCAGGCATGGTGATCAGCATGTGGAGGGACAGACAGGGATTGAACATGGGAGAGAGAAGGTATGTACTTGGTGCGTCCTGGAGGTCTGCATGGGCGACGTCTTCATGTACATCAGTCCGCTGCTGACGTGCTTCTGGTTGCATCATGTAGTGTAGGATAGCGTAGGTGTGAAGAGGTTGTACTTGGGTGCCAGGCGCCGCAAAGAAGGGCGACATTGGATACATTGTTGGTGGTGACAAGATTGGGCCGACATTGCCAATTGAAATTATTGAATTCATTTTTTTGCTTCTATTTGCTGTGCAACTTGGTGCATTCTGCTTACTGTTCGACACGCGACTATCCGCTTTCAATGTGCTCTCACTCCTTTTCCTTGCAATTTGGTACCAGGGCTGGTTTGTAGCAGCTCCATCGCCACTGGTGCTGGGCATATTTGGTGCGCTGGGCAGTCACCAGTGCAGTGGAGATACTTCGGCGCTACTTATTGGGATATTGGCGGCCCTGGGTCGAGAGGGCAGCACCAGGACGGCTTATTGGTGACATACATTGGGTGAATGCTGTGTGATGAGAGCACGCTGACATGGCATGCATGCAAAGGCAGCACTGCATTGCATTGTGAGTGGTGCCAATGTTATGACTGGTCATCCAAATGCACGACAGCTCAATTGGTGAGAAAATTGCAGTTGGGGTACGTTGTTCCTAACCTTATACACCATCCTTAACGCTTCTTACCATGACGAATTGTCTTTCTTGAGAGTGCTCTCTTGTAACGAGCGTGAGGCTGAGGGTGAGCCGAGGGAGAGGAGAGAGAGGGAGAGAGTGAGAGCACACACACACACTCACTCACTCGACACGATGGACTCGGACAGGAGAGAGAGGGAGAGAGTGAGAGCACACACACACACTCACTCACTCGACACGATGGACTCGGACTGAGGATCGGACGCAGACACAGTGGCAAGGCACAAAGTCGAAGTCTTGGATTCCCGAATGCCGAAAACAGCAAGTCACACTGAGTACGAGTACAGCAGCAGAGAACTGGTACGAGACTGGTGCCCGTACCGTACGGGGAGYCGGTATAAGTAYCGGTGACACGTACGGTACCAGGGGCATTTCTGCAAAGGYCCCGAGGGCAGAACTGAAAAATGCAGTATTTGAAAGTGGCGCCCGAATTGCAGCGTGGCGCCAGTTGTCCAAAATCCTACGGTACCAAARGRRGGGKTTKGRAAAARGGKKSCMRGSCSRAAAACGGGATGCAGCCGAAACAGCAAAAGATAGACCAGGGATCGAGCCCTGGCGAAGTCCGTAACACTATCCCCTCCCTCTAGAAGGCAACGTCCCGGCTGCCAAAAATCATGAAGTAATGCTGAAATCTGTGAAGGACGGGACGGAGCCTATCACTGGTTAACAAGTCGAAAGGGAAGAGGAGTATGATGTGGGTGGCATGGGCTGCGGGAGTAAGAGCGAACAGGGTTTGGTACCGGTGAACAGAGTTGTCCTACTGATGAACTAGGGGGGGTTGCAAGGAACAGGGTAGTCCTACTGATGAACTAATGGGACTGCATGGTTCGCTATAGGTTAAGGGGGAACAGCGTTCAGGGAACAGGGAACTTCTATTGATGTTCTACTGGGTAAGGGAAACGGTGTTCAGGAAAACAAGGTATTTCTATTGATGTTGTAGTGGGTAAGGGAAACAATGGTCAGGGGAACAGGGGATGTCTATTGATGTTCTAGGGGAACAATGGTTAGGGAAAGTGGGATCTGCTAATGATGTTCTACAGGGCTGTCAAAGTCAGGAAAAATAAAAATGAAAATGTTTGTTCAGGATGCGAAGGCTGGTGTGTCCGAAGGAGTCGGAAGCAGAATCTCATGTAGGAACAAAAAAAAATAATGATGTTCTACAGGGTTGTCAAAGTCAGGAAAAATAAAAATGAAAATGTTTGTTCAGGATGCGAAGGCTGGTGTGTCCGAAGGAGTCGGAAGCAGAATCTCATGTAGGTTCAGCAGCTGCGATAGGTAGAAGTCCAAGAAGCGTAGTAGTAGTTCAAGTGTCAAAGTCCAAGTGCTAGGGTGCGTCCGGTACACAAACTCCAATGAGGTCTGATCTGGAAGCAAGGAAGTCGCAGACTGATGCAAAGATCCATGTCACAAGTTGCTGCTCCAGTAAGTCCGCGAGTCGGGATGCCGGCCAATGAAACAGCATGKTGGCCAAACCAGCTGCATAATCTCCATGAACAGTGAGGCAGCAGGCCATCGTCCTCGTGCGCTTGCCATTAGATCCTTTATTGCCGGCGTCACGCAAGTTCACAAGCATTGGACAAGAGAGACAAGGTAGTGGAGAGGACAGATGGGACAAGGCTAGGCGAGGGCAAGRRMAGATMAGACATCAGGAATGAGGATCAAGGGAAGGGTGGACTGGGTTCAAGSGTSTGTGTAGAGCAGGGTTGCAAGGGTTTTTAGCGGGGGTTTATGCCATAGTGATATAGGTATCTAGGACGTAGGATTAGCACGATCATAGGCGCGGACAAGTTTCATGGCGTTCTTAAGATTAGAGAGAGGTTCCCATGTAGATTCTTCGTCGGGGTATCCGGTCCATTTGACTTTGTATTCAGTGATTGGTTCCGGATGATCAGATACCTGAGTGGTTCGTCGGCCGATGATGGTTTCGACAACGAATTCAGGGCCTGTGGGTAGCATGATTGGTGGAGGTCTAGGATATGGGCAGTCGGCGAACTGAAGCGGGGATTCATGGTATTCTTTTAGG